GGTAACTTTTGCTGCATAAAATAAAAACAATAACCCCTTAATGATTTTAAGAATGCATTATGAATAAAAGAATCTGGGCAGACAGCTTATGATTTTTCATATAAAAAAGTAGAACATAGGGTTTATCGCATTTGTATTTCATGTTTTATAATATAACATAGTATATAAATATATATATATAAAAGTTTATTATGGCTGTTCAGAGATTTCAATCGGGATGTGCCGAATTTTGTGTTAACCAAGTGTCATAGAGTGATAAATACGAGAACGGTTTGCATTCTTTAAGGTCAGGATGTGCCACTATAGCGGCTAATTCAGGTGTTAATGATAGGTGTTTGAAAAGACACGAAGGGTGGAAGAGTGATTCCAGTAAAGATGGTTATATAGCAGATTCTGTTGCTAACCGATTACAAGTTTCAGAGAATTTGGGTTTATAAACTTCATTTTGTTCAAGTTTTTGTCCGCTGTTTAGCTGTCATTTACTTGTAGTTTGTTTCATACATTACTGTGATTAAACAATTTGTCAGATTTTTCTTTATACTCTATCTTTGTTGTTCTACATGTATATAAGCAGCGAACTAGTCAAAAAACTTGAGTTTGTAGTTGAGTTATTTTTTCTTAGATGCTAAGGTACATAAGTAAAGAGAAGACTAGATAATTCCCGCGGTACGCAGTAAAACGGGAATTTATTGTCTTCTCGGTAAGGTATTTTCGAGGCGTATGAACTTTTGGCGCCAAAAATTGTCGTGGTAAATAGATAGTTATATGAGTATTACTTCTAGCCTTGCTTTCGTACTGTGTACATCAAATTTTTCATAAGCATAAAGAATGCTAAATTTGACAATTTTTTTAAGGTCTTTTATATATATTTTTTATATATATGGTATGACTATATAACCGTAATTTGATTTGGATTATATAATTTGTCTTCAAAATTTTTTATAGCCGTAGTTTTCAGATTAAAACTCCCTTTATTTAGTAAGATTGAGCATTTTTTGTACATGCACATTTTTGTTTTAAAAGTGCAGTCCTACAATTGAGTTTCGCATGGCATTGACACAAGGACGCAGGTTTCCAAATTTGGTTTTTCCTGATCGGCCACAAAATAGTATTTTGTGTGTTTTGAGTATTGTTTAATTTGAAAGATGATGGCAAATAGTATTTTGTATATATGTTATGTTGTTATAATATTGCTGTGTTGTAATAAAAGAGGCAGCTCAGAAAAGATATAAGCAGCGAGCTAGTCAACAAACTCGTTATTTTTGAAACAATTTGAACTTTTAAATTATAATTGACCGTATATGATAAACAGTATCATGCGCAATAAAGCTAGTTGTTATATGTTAATTATTCAAATCACCGAGCGTTATAAATTACCTGTTCAGATCTTTAGAGAATCTATTGATTGTTTAAGATATATTGCATACTCACTACAAACTGGAGGGCTCCCATCCCAATTTTTACCTTCCTTGCACTTCCGAACCAAATTACCAGATGAGAGTTCATAACCTGTGTTACATGTGTATCTTATGGTATCCAGATACTTTGAACCAGTCTGTGCTACTAATGAGGCAAATGAAGCTGCAGATGGATTTGGACAAGTAACTTTTGCTATAATGATAAGAATAGTTATTTAATAACAGTTTGTCTTTGTTTGGTTAATTAAAGCGTGTTTTACGTCCAGTGGCAAATATTTCAGTCGTGTTCAGGTCGCGAACAACTTAACAATCAATACAACGGGTCGGTTCTGCAAAATACTGTCGACTGTAATAAAGGGCGGGAAATTTGAAAATCCATTCGGAAATGATGCTATGTAGGATAAGAGTAGACATTTTGATTGCAACAGGCAGCAATACGAGTTCTTTTGCAAATGTTCTTTTTCGTGGACAGTGCATGGTACACAAATTACATGGGCTATTAGATTTTACGTCCAAAATCTGAAAGGACACGTATTTATACATTTTTTTCAAAGAGAAACGGACATGTTTCTATTTTAGAAATTAATTATTTTACCGCAGTAAAAGAGAAGTCCAGGGAGGAACAACATGCTATACTACCATTGAGTTCCATTTGAAGTAATTATATTAAGTAGATACAATGGATAAGCGTCAAACTGATCATAAAAAAACAATTTAAAGATATGTAACACAATTAATTGATTGGTGTTTGGTTAGCATCACGAAGCACATATCACATGCACATTCCGAAGGAACATGTGACAAGAAAATACATTATATAGAGAATGTGAACAACCATGGGATATCATTTTCACACTCCCTTCCTCTCAGAAAAATAGAACAATTTTTTATTTTGCCTGTCATTATACCTTTTTGATAAGAATTAACCTTATTTGCATGAGAAATGACAAAAATATCGGAGTTGCTAATGGAGCACAAATATTTATGTTGTATTTGTAGAAGTCCCTTCCCCTAAGCAGTTTTTGCTGTCGAATGACACCAAATTTAACCAGAAAAAATCTGTGTGATTTAAGTTTTTCATCCTACATTGAACTTTTGATGTGGTCTCTTACATACAGGTAAATTGGTCTCTAGTGGATAGTGGATAGTTTGTTGTCTCTTTTGCAATCACACCACATCTCTTTATTATGATATAAAACATATGTTTTCCTTCAATCTATACTAGTATGCATAAAAGTAACTCCCGTGAAATAGTGGATACATCATGGCAAATTGGAATGTATTTCGTTAAAGATAAGGATTTTAAGAGTGTTTGATAAGTTAACAGTTAAAGGTCGGAAAATGATTCCCAGGGACTCGAACTTTGGTATGCAGTCAAGGTCTGACATGTTCAAATAAATTAGATTCCACTTATTTCCATGCAGGTGTGTATATTTAGGCTTCAAACTACGCGTGGGGGAGACGTATTAAATTCCCCTTGTACATGCAAGCACTACAGTTCCATACAAATACTTACAGCAAACGGGACTATCATCCCAACTTTTATCCGCTTTACAGATTCGAACCAAATTACCAGATGCGAGTTCATAACCTGTGTTACATGTGTATGTTATCGTATCCAGATATTTTGAACCTGTCTGTACAGATATTGTAGCAAAGGCAACTGCAGAAGGACTTGAACACGTGACTTTTGCTACAATGGGAAGACTGAGTATTTTACAAAAACGATTAATAATTTTTTTTCGAATTTTTCCAGATTATCATATTAATTAAAGCGAATTTTCTGTTTCAGTGCATATGGTCCTTATGTTTTTTTTGGTCATAAAGGTCCTAACGGTTCTACATATTTATACATCGCTGGCTTTCAAATGTAAAAGTTTAAGAGTTATTGATCAATGAAAATCTACAAAAGCGATGTGGACGCACGAACTTTATTTGCACTAATGCCGTAGAATTAACACATTATAACTTTTTATAAGCCTTCATTTTGAGAACATATAACTTATTGTTGAGATAAAAGTAAATGTTTTTTTTCATGCCTGATTTCTTTTTTAATTATCGAATTCTAAAAAAAATGTGGATAAGAAAAAAACTAGATGATTTGACAAAATATGAAGTCGAGTGAAATTAATATCATGTTAACAAACAGGTCTGACAGACGGACGGCCGTACGTAAGCTAACACGTTACAAGTTTGATACATGTATGTCCTCAGATATTTGTTTTGCTTTATAAGGTATAAAACCATACAATAAATGGTCGTCTTTTTGTGGTAATGCTCTTAACTGAAGTACTAGTATGCATTGCAATATATACTCTGCAAACATTTCCTCGAATCAATATATTAATAAAATGTTACACTTATTTAAGTTTAGAACGTTCCTTGGCATTCAACAGATATTCTATAAACAAATCAGATATGTCGAACTAAACCAAAAACAGTAATAACATAAAGGGTATCAATTGTATTGCACCAGATGCGCATTTCAAAAATAACTGTCTTTTCAGTGATGCTTGAGACCAAACTATTCTTTAGCCCAAAATCAAGTACAAACATCGAAGAGGGACTGATAAAACAAAAAACGAACAAAAGTAAGGCCAAACCCATACAAGGAATTACAGCTCAAATATCTTATTTAATATGCTGATTTACAATAAAGTCGCCCCTTTTTTAGCGTTGATCTCTTTGGCTAACTCGGCTGTGAATTTTTACGTGCTGGTTTATGTTGTTTTATGTATCCGTTTTTATTCTGTAGATAGTCACCACTTCGGTTAACATATAATACGTTGTTCGTCTGTGCCTCTTTTATGTGCTGATTTAGGTTGTTTTACGTATTCGTTTTTATCGGTGTTAACATGTATATCTATTATATAGTCATTTTTATAAATTTACTGTTTGCAAAAGTATGAATTATTCTAAATACTAAGGATTTTCTTATCCCAGACAAATAACCTTAGCCGTATTTGGCACAACGTTTTGGAACTTTTGGTCCTCAACGCTCTTCAACTTTGTACTTGTTTTGGCTTTCGTACTTTTTTGATCCGATCGTCACTGGTTAGTCTTGTGTGGACGAATCGCGCGTCTTGCGTATTAAATTCTAAACTTGGTACCTTTTGTTAGCTACTTTTCGTATGTTTCTCTGTCCTATATGTTCTCCCATTTATTTGTATTGTAGTCCTGTCATGTAATGTTGTCATTTTAATGTTATGTTTAACATTGCCATAAAAGCGGGAGGTTTGGCTAGCCAAAAAACCAGGTTCAACCCACCATTTTTTTTCTTAAAATGTCCTGTACAAAGTCAGGAAAATGGCTATTGTTATATTATAGTTCGTTTCTGTGTGTGTTACATTTTAATGTTGTGTTTCTGTTGTGTCGTAGTTCTCCTCTTATATTTGATGTGTTTCCCTCAGTTTTAGTTTGTAACCCGGATTTGTTTTTTTCTCAATCGATTTATGAATTTCGAACAGCGGTTTACTACTGTTGCCTTTATTTAATTTAACGAGACAAATGAATACAGTGTGGTCTTATGTAGAATATCAATGTCTTATATCACCAAAAGAGTTCTAATATAAGAGAACTTACTACACACAGGAGGTTTTCCATCCCAGTGTTTACCCTCCTTACACGTCCGTACCAAATTACCAGAAGATAGTTCATAGCCAGTGTTGCACTTGTATTCTATTGTGTCAAGATAATTTGAACCAGTCTGTACCAATATTGTGGCAGAGACAACTGCTGAAGGATTCGGACATGTCACTGGCACTACAATGATTATAGGACTTATTTAATATCAAATAAATACATTAATTCTAACTATAAAGATTGATTTGATAAAAAGCATTCTTCACCAAGTTCCAAGAATATTTTCATCTTTTCTTTGCTTTGTTGAAAAGTTTTCTCTCAATTCTCGATAAACTCCCAGTAAAAGCTAGTTCAAGAATTTATGACATGCTCACATTGAAACGATATGAATTTAACTTACTTAACTAACAAATTATAACGAAATTGATAACAATTTTGTCTAACGTTTGCTTCTGGTGAAGAAGTTTGAAAGTATACTTTGGCTTTAATTTTGGATTACGTTACGTGAACACCACCTTTACCCTTAAGGAGTAATAGTTTTTAAAGCATTTTTTCCATGGTAAACTTGTATCTACTCTTATATACACAAGCTAAACATTAATAACGACAGTATATCCGAATATTCGGCCTTTCTACGCGAAAAAATGATCACATATGTTTTGCTGCGTACTTACCAAAAAAAAAAAAAACATTTGTACCACATATAATTACAAAAAAGCTCATAGAATCATTGAATGTCTCTTCCAGAAAATTCCCATTCCCTGCAGACTACAATTCACGTTTCTAATATCATATTACAAAATAAACAATTATTTATTGCTTATTGTACAATGTTGCTGATATTACAGGTTTTTACCAGCACATTTGGCCCAGGCGAGTACACGAGAAAGACAAATCTTCTTATACACATGTAAATGTGTTGTAATCTTCAAACAGATTCCCATAATTGATTAGAAACCTTTGTGTGTTTAACTGTAAACATTTGACTTAGGAATCGACACAGACACCAGTCTTGTGTTTAAATGACTGTAAGAATAATTCTTGGAACATCAATGCGACGACCTTTGTATTTGCTCTAAAAACTTTTAAAACCGCACAGACAATTGTACTATGTTCATTGGATTTATATAGATAATAATTTGACACTCACAACAGATAATTGGAGATCCTTCCCAATTACTATCAGATTTACAAGTAAGCACTGCATCTCCAGAATTTTTGTTATATCCTACAGAACAAGACAACGTTATGGTATCATCTAGTCCGTTCCCGCTTGTTACATTCGTGGTATGAGGCACTGTGTCCGGGTAGTCGCATGTCACCGCTAAAATAGAAGAGAGGCGAAAGATACCAGAGAGACATTGAAACTCATAAGTCGAAAATAAACTGACAACGCCATGGCTAAAAAAGAAAAAAAAACCAAACAATAGTACACAAAACACAACATAGAAAACTAAAGACTGAGCAACACGAACACCACCAAAAACTGGGAGTGTTCTCAGGTGCTCCCGAATGGTAAGCATATCCTTCTCTACATGTGGCAACCGTCGTGTTGCTCATGTTAGTACCAACCCGGTAGTAAGTCTAATTCGATAGGTCACATTTGGTAAAATGGGACGGGATTGTAGTTACGACATAAGGATCATAGCCGCTATCATCTGTGAAACGAATATTCCATAACGGTCAACCAACTCTTTGTGGCGTCCGTAAGACTTACGAAGGAATGATTTCAACGTCACCACTTGGAACTCTTGGTTCAATAGCTTCCTTGTGAGCAGCAACCCTCTATCAAGGAAATCATGATAGGAAATACAAGCCCTTGAATATCGTAGCAACTGGGAGATATATACTCCGTATGCAGGCGCTGCTGGAATGTTGCTACATAGAAATGGAAAGTTCACAATTGGGAAGCTGAAATCATCTTTTTTGTCGTAAAGTTTTATTTATCAACCGGCCCTCCTCATTGTTAATTTCTAGATGTAAGTCAAGTTATGAGGCATACTTAACGGTATCTATTGTATCCTTTATATCAAGTTCGATGGGATAGATGCATTCAACATAGTCACCAAATTTTGAATTATTTAGTGAGAGAACATCATCTATAAAGCGGAAAGTAAAGTTAAAGGATACTGCTTACTTCTTTTCTTTCTTCCTAAGAATTTTCTGTATGAAGACAGCTCATATGAATAAAGGAACAAGTCGACAAGAAGAGGGGCACAGTTTGTTCCTATGGTAATGCCGATTGTTTGTTGAAAAACAAGTCCTCCAAACGTAACAAATATGTTGTCAATCAAGAAATCAGGCATATTGATAACGCAGTTTCAGAGAATTTTTTGTTTGAATCAGAACGATGTTTTACAAAGTAGGATTTATCCCTCCCTAAGACAAGATACTTGTATCTACGTTGGCCATTCTTTTTTATGAAACAACGCAGGACCAACTCTTTCAATTTGTCTTTTAGTCTGGAATAGGGAATACTTGTGTAAAGTGTAGAAAAGTCAAATGTTTTAATACTATTGCAAGATGAAAGAGTCTTAGATTGTATGTACTCTGAAAGATCTTTGGAATTTTTTTAGTATCCACATCTGATTCACGCCACCTCTAGAAAAGGTAGTTTCACAACAACTTTGAAGCACGGCTTTGATTCCTGATAAACTTGATGTTAATAATTTAAAAAGAGGTTTCGTGGAGCACTTGGAAGACCCAGCAATATACCGTTGTTTGTAAGGACACTTATGTAGTTTAGGTATCCAATGCAGTGATGGAAGATGTAGTTCGTCATCTTTGAAATTCTAAAGGAACATAGAACAGACCTATGAGTGTCCAGGATTTCCTCTTTAATAAGTGTCGTGGGGTTATATATTGAGGTTTAAAGTAAACTGTCAGTACCTAATTCATTTATCAAGCAGTTTATGTAATGTGATTTACACACAAAAACGATCATGTTGTTGGGGATTTTATCTGCGGGGACAACAACATATTTGTCGTGGAGGTAGGACAAGTGTTTTGCATCATTAGGGTCTTTAAAGATTGATGTAGCATGGGTATTAATAGACCCATTCAGTTTCTCTTAATTCTGACTTGTATCAACGACCTCACATTCTTAATCCATTCGCAAAGAGTATATACGTCTTCTTTCTCGCGTTAAACCCATTGCCTGGCATAATCCTCGACTGAATCCATCAGTACTTTGAGGTTGTGTTTCAACAGATGCAAGTTATATTGCTTTTCATGAAATGTGTTTCGACTATGAGTTTGAATGTTCCATTGGTATCTTTTGCCTCTCTTTCAATATACAATCTAAAATTCAAAGTTTAAATATGAATACAATTTTTCAAAAGTATCTTGTCTAATTCCAATTGCAAATACATTAGTCTCTTTTGAAGACAATTATTCTTTTTCGAAATGAATTATTTGTATACCAAACAGATAGAAAAAAGTAAACACATGAATATGATTCAGCCCAGTGGTTGTCTGGGGTTGCAGCCTTTCTTACATGTCATTTGATTTCGTTTAGTGTTAAAGTTTAAAACAGGAATATGTTTTTTTTGTAGGGATATATTATTAACTTACACACATAATACTTGGATGAATCATATCTCCTTTAAAATAAAAAAGATAACTAAAATGCCCTTTATCTACGTGTATATTAAATATCGTACTTCGAGGACATTTTGTTATTATTCTTACCTGTCGTACAATTATCCCCCAACCATCCAAGAGCACATGTGCAGTTAAAGCTGTCCGTCAAATCATTACAAGTGCCATTGTTCTGGCAAGGGTTTGGGTTGCATTTATCAGCTAGTATTAACAAGACATAGCTTAGAGAAAACCTATGTGTTTTCTTTAACATACATGCACATATAAATTAAATCCATACAAAGAATAATCGATTGAGTTAATAACTCATAGCGTCTATTAATTTACTAAAAAGAAAATACAGTACTGTAATAGTTTACAGGGTAGCCTTATAAAAAAACAGGTGTCTTAAAAACTAATACGACATCGAAAATAACGCATGATTATCGAATATGCAAAAACTTCAACTCACTAGCCTTTGGTTTGATAAGGCTAAGGATATAATGAACGACCTCCATCATTCGATACTTGAACATTTACAAGAGACCACCAATGCGTTCTCACTAGAATTAGTCAAACACACCATTAAATAAAGGCAACAGTAGTATACCACATTCGTAATTCATAAATCGATTGAGGAAAAAACAAATCCGGGTTGCAAACTAAAACTGAGGGAAACACATCAAATATAAGAGGAGAACAACGACATAACAGAAACTCAACACTAAAATGCAACACACAGAAAGGAACTATAATATAACAATGGCCATTTTCCTGACTTGGTACAGGACATTTTAAGAAAAAATGGTGGGTTGAACCTAGTTTTGTGGCTAGCCAAACCTCGCACTTTTATGGCAATGTTAAATATAACGCTAAAATGATACCATTACATGACAGGAATGCAGTACAAATAAATGCAAGAACATTCGGGACAGAGAATTACGCAAATATACAATACAATATTATAGTACATTTCGACAACTTAACAGAAACACGAAGTGAACAAAACACAAACGACAATGCAACAGACACAGAAACTAACTATACGATAACAATTGCCATTTTCTTGACTTGGTACAGGACATTGTTTAGAAAAACATGGTGGGTTGAACCTGGTTTTGTGGCTAGCCAAACCTCCCGCTTTTATGGCAATGTTCAGTATAACATTAAAATGACAATATTACATGACAGGACTACAATACAAATAAATGGGAGAACATACAGGACAGAGACACACACTAAATTTAGCTATCATAAGGTACCAGGCTTATAATTTACTACACCAGACGCGCGCCTCGTCCACATAAGATCCATCAGTGACGCTCAGATAAAAAAAGTTCGAAAGCCAAAACAAGTACAAAGTTGAAGAGCATTGAGGACCAAAAGTTCCAAAAAGTTGTGCCAAATACGGCTAAGGTTATATGCCTGGGATAGAAAAATCCTTAGTATTTAGAATAATTCATACTTTTGCAAACAGTAAATTTAAAAAAAATGACTATATAATAGATATACATGTTAACACCGATAAAAACGAATACGTAAAACAACCTAAATCAGCACATAAAAAAGGCACAGCCGAACAACGTATTATATGTTAGCCGAAGAAATCGACGCACAATGTGACGTCATATTTAAATTTCTATAAATTTCCAAAAAATAGGATAGAGCTCAAGATTAGATTTGTAATACTGATATAACATGTATTATAACAATGAAAATTACAATACTTATTAATATAAAATTGTAGTAGTAATTAGATAATTAATTGTATTATCAAGCTATGTCGGTATTTCTTCTAAAACCATTTTAAGAATAAACCATTCTTAATATACAAGCTATTGATCAATGTGATCAGTTTAAACGTTTTGTTGCTTTAAAGCATATTGCCGAAAGCATATTAAACAAAAACAATCAATTTTAACACAAGTTTTTTTAAACATAGCTGTCCAGTATAAAGAAATAGTATGACTAGCAGACAATTTCAACCATGATGCAGACATTTTTCGGAACAAAAAATATAAACAAAACAATTTAAAGCATCAGAAATGTCTTTAAGAGCAATTTTTTTTCTGTCTTAAAATTTAAAAATCTCTCGAACTACTGTTGCATAGTGTATGCTTACTAGAAAAAGACACTAAAATCATTCTTCTTAGTACTATAACTAAATATGCAAACAACGGGCAAGTATAATTCATTATTATAGGGCATACGAAACCTAATTTTGAACGGCCCTTTTAATGAATCTTTAGACAACAATCACTGCAAAAGGATTAAACAAATAAACAACATACCCACGTCACAGGCACTGCCACATGGTTCACACAAGGAAGCATCATTTGGCAATGCGTCATTGGTGCCTGAATAAAGATAAAAGATACATAACAATTATTTGAGTTGTATTTGAAAAGGGAGTCCAAAACTATTGTAGCCTTGCATGACAGTTAGATGCTTTATAATAGAAAATAAAAGTACTAAAAAATGACATTACAGTCATGTAATATGCTAGTTTGGTCGTCGTCTCTTCCTTCAAAGATTTTGTCTCAACATTCTCTGTTTTATTTGTTTACCGCTTGAAGTTTTCAGCATAAACCAGGCATTTTGCATTCTATTTTAACACCTATTTTAGAATTGTTTTGCATCATGTTATGCCAATCCATGTTATGACTTTCTATACGGTATTGAATTTGGTCATTGATGAATGCTGTACCGTGACAAATAGTTATGAACATCCTGATCCGTATGTCATTGATGGATAAATGTCTCGTTGACATTGATACCACGTGCACGCTTCTTCATTTTTATACTGTTCATTGATATGAATGTGTAATATTCAATCAACTGATTCTGTTCTTATACACTCTTGGCTTTTTGGGATGCAACAGGTAGACTGCCAGTATCGAATATGATGTGCACTTTTTTTGGTGGTCAATTTAAGAAAGCGCTTTCATATATTCTGCTTTAAGCGTTCTTGATGAAGGTTAATCCACAAAAGCGCCTCGGAAGCATGAAATTTATAAAGTATAGATTTTAAAATCATAACAATTATTACAATATATTAAATGAAAACCGACATATTTTTAAAAAAAAAGACGGATCGACGATGATTAAATCTTATAATCGATTTTTAAAATCCAAAAATACAATTAACACGTTTCATTTTACAAATTTATCTATTTGCTTTTAACAACTTTTGACATTGATAACTTCGGATTGAATTCTAGTTCTATATATATTTAAAACATTATTTCAAATTATTAGTAAAAAGTGTAAAGTTGATCTGACCACAACTTCATGATAAATTACCTTAGATCATACCGTTTAGACATACGGAAGGACGTACTGACTAGGAACATAATTTCCCTACTTTCAAAAGCAGGAAAAAATTCGCAAAACAACCATTAGAAAATATATTACCTTGTCTTCTCAATGTGCGTATTTTCGGGGAGCCTGTGTATTGACAGAAGGTGCTACACGTTGGTTCGTTATCATTTGGAGCACTACTATCTTCTGGCGCAAACACTCTTTCGTCCGGATCAACATCAGTGAAAACATCTTGAATTGAAAATGTTAGTATAATAAAACAAGAACACATTCATATAATCGAGCAGTTTTTAGAGCTCAGGAAAGGAGACATTTTACTCGTTTTGCAGTTTTTCTACATGTCTCCTTTTCTCTTTCTCTTTCTAAGTTAGTGTTCCTATTCTACTGTGGATGATGTTTTTTTTTATTGTTTATTGTTATGTTTATACTGATTATGCTCTCTGTTGAATAGTATACAATCGTTTTTATTTAAATTGCGGTGCCATGAACAAATGGTCTTTAATCTGCACCAGTGAAGTACAATCAGATTGTTACAACAGCAAAGGATGAATTTGTATTGATGGCTTCATTTTAAATATTCCTACGCATTTTGTACATGTAACGTTCTCATGGTAGGTATGTTCACTGATATATATTGCGTTTTATTGCTACACATAACATCACCTGAAAGCACCATGTGGCTGTTGTATACAAATAGAATTTACGGAATCTTTTTTTTATATTATCGTTTTCTATAATAAATTATATTTGTGTACATACTGATTTGGAGAAAATTGCTCATTATGAAATGTATGACTTTTTTTGTTTTCTTTCCATATGCAGTGCTGTGTAATTGTATTTATCTAATTGATTAACTGACGTTTGCGAAACACACAGGAACAAAGTCTGTCCTGGATTCTCAGATCTAATACTTTAAATGTGTATACATGAATAATTTTTAAAGGAATTTACATAAAACGCCGACACACTGAAATAGATGACAAAGAATATTCAGAATACTTAAGCACAAACAATAACTCATTGAACATGTTGAAAAGTGAAAAACAGTTTTTAATTGGAGTAAAACAAATATATAATACTAATTATTTATAACATGTTTTCTTGCCAGTATTATGTATGGCCGAATATTATTTTCAAATACAAGTTTTATGAAAAAAAAATTCTTAAAATACATTTAAAAGATCTAATAATTAATGCATACAATACATGTAATTGATAACGGTCGCATTTGCATATAGGTAATTTTATACGTGTACCATGTATTTTTGCTGTCGATACCACTTGATTCCGGTGGCACCTGTGTGTATGGGTGTCATCAAATAACATTGTCTTGGATTGTGTGCACTTTACATATAACAAGTTGTCTGCACTCGACTGTATTTCCTTTTGTTTGTCAAATTTGATTCAATGTTTTCTTTTAGTTGATATATATATTTAGAAATGCACATACCTGACAAAAGATAAAAGTAAAATAAATCGGCAGTTACTTTTGTTAATTTCATACAAAGATATAGCCGTCTGCTTCCTCCGAAAGGATTACTAGTAAAGCTTGTGTCACTTCTGAAATATATCATAAAAACTATACATGTAGGAATTACATTCATACAGATATGTTACAACCGTTCTTTATAGTAATTGCTTACGAGAAGTTCATAAGATTTTCAATTTTATTTTATTAATTTTGCAAAAAGGAAATTACAAATGATTTAAATATTTTTAAGTTGAATTTGTTAATGTTTACTTTTATGTTTTAAGTATTTTTTTATACCTTGTTTTTGTGTCTATCCTTATCTCAGTAATGCTCTCTTCCTCGTTGTTTCAGCCGACATTTCTCTATTATTTTGTTTTGGTCCATATGACTAGTAACAACATCCAGACCCTTGCAATATAACAGTTGAGTGCTCGCAAAAAACATACAATCAGCCTTGCCACTGCCCGAGCCAGGATACGAATGACGACGTCATTTGTTGTTAAATGATGCATTATCATTGCTTATTATGAAATGTTTTAGAGTGTATGATGTAAAATGCAGACTCAACAATGTAGTCACACTTGCCGCATACGAATAAGTTGTTTCATATCTTATAATTTGAAGATGTTTATTTTCGCAGTGCTAACTTTCGCAATATCCAGGACAAAACATCTTCAGATTCTTTTTTCGTGAATTTCATTCTGATTTTTTATAAGTTACACGACGGGATTTTCGTGATTTATCCTTATCGTGCAGTAATCGAAATAAACCCTATGGTAAGTAGTAATTTAGTTGGAGCTGATGCAAGTCATTTGTCAAATATCTTAAGGATATTTTTATTTTGTCAAACTTTAGGTTCATACGTTCTCTATAACAATTAACATTTGGATAAAATTTACCATTACCTTTGACACAAATGTTTGTCTAATAAATACTCATAAGATATTTGCACAGATGGGAAGACATTTCATTTGTTTTTGCTTCATTAAAATACCAGTCTGCTTATGAAACTTTCTTTGTTTTAAAACCAAATGCATTTTTGTCTTGAAATAAATTACAAAAGTGTATTGGATTGTGTCATGGATGACTATTTGAATACTTAATTTATTTTTATAACAATAATTTCTTTTATTATTAACATTTTAAAACAATATTACAATAGGACTACTGTTCCAGATCCGGAACTATTACGAAAAAAACGCTCAATCGATAAAAAGTTTTGACATACACAACGCATGTATTTACACACATATAACCATAATCGTGTATGTTGACTGGTTGTTTACTGTTTTTTTCTGTCATTTGGTTGCTGTCTCATTGACGTATATCCTACAACCCAATTTATTCGTACATTCTTGCAAAATAAGGTTCTTTACTAAAATGAGTCCTAAATTATTGTTTACTTGAAAACCAAAACAGTCTGTGCGTTAGAGATGTTTAAACTATTGATGCAAGTCCAATCGTCCAATGTTGTCCCAAAAGCATTTAAACTGATGGAATCTTGTATCGTTGTAGTTACAATGTTGAGAGTTGTTGATTGTTCTGAATTGTCTGATATTTTTGTGTAATTATATTCCCACAATGTTCCCTGCAGTTCTTCAGGCAAAGAACAAGCGGCATCTGAAAATACAGAATGTAGAAATTAGACCATATGAAATTCAAAGACTTTGGACAATAGTAGATTACGTGGTCCCTGATAAGGACCAGGCCTGATGTCAAAAAGAATAAATCAACTACAATTTAAGGCGGTATAATGATCTCTATTTTGTTTTTTGATATATGCTTACACGTAAAAGAGACGCGAAAGATACCAAAGGGACATTCAAGTTCATAAGTCTAATATAAAATGAAAACGCCATGACAAAGACAGGCAAAAGATACCAAAGGGACATTCAAACTCATAGGTCGGAATTAACTAAAAAAAAAAAACCAAAGACAAACAACAGTATACAAAACACAACAAACTTGACATAGAAAACTAAAGACTGAGCAACACGAACCTCCCAACAATCGGGTGATCACAGGTGTTTCAGAATGGTAAGCAGATCCTCACAATATAAGTGACTGTCTTGTTGATATCTAACTCACGCCTTTTATTTATATTGCCTGAATATGTATCATAATACGGGATAAGAAGGGATGTACTTTAACTTCTATAAAGTTTTCTTGACAATTGAGACTTACAGATTGTCTTATATTTGTTTCACATTTTCTATAACAAATAGTTAATGAACATTACGACATCGAGCACGGGTTCAAGAATTTCAGCAAACTCAATTTATCTAGAACATGCAGATGACGCGGAAAGTAAAAATGAACGAATACTTTATGAGTAACACGAAGGCAATCGACGATTATAACCTTTTTTCCCGAAACTGACTAATGAAAATCTGAACTAAACTAAAAATAATATGTTACGTTAGAAAAAAATAAATTAGGAAATAGAGAGGGTGGATATACGCCAATTTTAAATCAATCCAATGGAAAAAAAAAAAAAAAAAAATTCAAAATAAAGCTTGATGCCAATATACGGGTTTACAATGAAAAGGTTTGAATGCTTTTGCCGAGCTGTTTTTCGCCCCTAGATAAAAAAAAGTAGATAAATCAATCATTACGCATGATTATATTTTTCATCGCGTGCTGAAATGATTAGATAGCAGAACCTTCTAGTGCCAATACCTGATTACAGGTGTTCTATTGGATATTGTACTTCAGGAATAAAAGTTTAGCTTGTTGCTATGTTAAAGGTAAACCTTCATTTTTTTATAAATAGTATAAACACAGTAACAAACTGGCCTAGCTGGTTTTTTAAGTCACTATTTTGGTACCTGATTTCCGGGTTTGATTGGCTGGAAATAACGATCAATCAATACGTACGTAGTAAACCTAAGAGATGACTTTAGTTAGAAATATTGTCAAATCTTGACTTTTTCTCGTGCGAAAAACTTGACGTCCTTTTGGCTTTGCTGAATGTAAAATGTTTTGGATTTTCAAACTTCTTGGCCAATTTAATATTTTTTCAGCAAAAATGATTTTAAAAAAATAACCACCCCGATACAATGGAAATATACGAATTGTTCCTTTATATACAAAATGCATAAAAAAAACAAAATGTGCTTTACTGCTTTACTGAAAGTTGTTAGCAGCGAGTTTAAGATGAATATGACTATACAGTTTGGAAGAAAATCTGTAGATTTATGTATCCGTACTATTCTTCCTTTCCATATTTTTCCTATTGATTTTATTTCCGTTAATCCTATTTGGTGTGTTATTTTGTTATATTTGGAATGGAAATGGAACCTTCTCTTTTGTTTATTTGTTTTTCATATTTTTTTTTTTGCTATTTAACGTTTTTCAAAACCGTTGTTGGATTTCACTATCGGAATTTCATTTGCATTCAGGCCTGGGGTAATGGTAATTTGTATTTGTAACGCATTGTAATATTACATTTTTTTGATGTAATGCAAAGTAATTTGTTATGCACATTTTCTGCATTACAATTACATGTAATGAAATGATCACTTTAGTTAAAAATCAATGTAATGCCTCCATTACTGTACATTACTTTCCATTACAAATTGGTAAAATACATAAAATTGAAAAATATAGTAAAATAAAAATAAACTATTAACAAAAACAAAAGAAAGTATTGAATAAAATTATTGTCACAGTTAATTACTGTATTAAATCATTACAATTGTTTGCCCTACAAAAATCTTCTAAAAATAATTATTAAACAAAACTATATAGATGAATGGAAAAAATATGAAGATGAAATTTTCATAATTCTGTACACACCTTACATGTATTTCAATGAAATATTGAATATGTCAATCAACATTTTTACACCAAACTGTGTTCATGGTGGTTGTTATTTCACCTAATTAATATCAAAATGTTTTTATTGCAATCAAATCTTCTCAACTTATGTTTGTCCTCACAGAGCCCTTAGGCATTTAACAAGATAATCCTTTAATGGCACATTTATTATATCCCTTTGAAATCCCTTTATGATGTCTTAATGAGTAAGTGATCAATGTTAGAAACAAAATTATATGAAAATTTATTTATTTTTCAAGTATTTGAAGTCTATGTCACTAACACTGTATATATATGTACATATACCCTGGTAATATTTATATATTTCTTATAAAAATCTGTTTTTTAAATGTTTTTAGTTTTTATATTGAAAAAGTAATGTGTGATGTAATGCATTACACAGGCAAAGTAATTGTAATGTAATGCATTACATGTGAGAAAAATGTAATTGTAATTGTAATTGTAATGGAAGAATCACAATTACATTGTAATGTAATGCATTACATTGCAATGTAATGGCCCCAGGCCTGTTTGCATTAATATATTATCTTTTCATATGCAAATTCGTATGTTGCCAAATGTGTAATCGGACGTGTGGCTTAAACCATGTGTCTTTTTTGAAATTGATAACATATTTGATGAATTTGTAAGAATATGCCTTCTGTTATTACTTATAAATAAATTTCTGAATCATAATTATTAAGCGATTTCGCGGGTGTGTTCTTGTGATATTGAAAGTTTTACAAACACGATTATGACTGGTGTAATAAACGTAGATTTCTTTCACAGATGACCGATGATATTTTCCATTATTCGTAACGTATAACTCCAATCGGTCTCAGGGCCATGTTGCTCTAAATGTTTGTAAACTGTAAAGTATGTTTAGACATATCAACTAAATTTTCTGACTTTCAAAACTGAATTGCAAATTTGTTTTGATTAATTCCCATCTGCAATAAACATACAAAATGACTATTCAAATTGTATTATACCCTTTGTTTACGGTTGCTTTAAATATCATAAATGCATCCACTTCCTCATTTCTGTTTCATTTTTTATTTGGTTACCTGTATCAAAGAGCACAACAACCAAAGTAGTAAAAATCACAAAGCCTGTTAGGATCTGAGTTATGCCGCTTTGACCAAAGAATGTGACTTTTAACAACTTAAACTAATTGTTAATTTATATATCATTGTCATTTTGCTAAGTTTCTTTTGTTATCTATTCTGATTTCGGACTTGGACTTTTTTTAAACTGAGTTTTACTATGCGTATTGCTGTGTGTTTGGTTTTTTTACATTGGCTAGAGGTATAGGGGGAGGGTTGAGATCTCACAAAACATGTTTAACCCCGCCGCATTTTTGCGCCTGTCCCAAGTCAGGAGCCTCTGGCATTTGTTAGTCTTGTATGATTTTTAATTTTAGTTCATTTGTATGTTTTGGAGTTTAGTATGACGTCCATTTTCACTAAACTAGTACATATTTCTGTTTAGGGGCCAGCTGAAGCCCGCCTCCGGATGTGGGATTTTCTCGCTGTGTTGAAGACCCATTGGTGGTCTTGGGCTGTTTCTGCTCTTTGGTCGTGTTGTTGTCTCTTTGACACATTTCCAATTTCCATTCTCAATTCAAATTAAAAATGAAATATCAAGCAGTGTTAACACTTTCGTCGCGTCAAACCGTCTTAACGTATGTGTACAAATTATAAAACATTCATATTACACGCTACAACCTTTCAATGCTTGGTTTGCGGGCAACATTGGAAAACTCTCAAGTTAGACAGCAAACTCACTTACACATTTTATTCAATTTTTCTATATTAAAACTTAAACTGTTGGCCAGTCTTTTATACCTATAGCAGCGCATATACATTTGTGCTTTTTCTACATATGATCAGATGAACAAAATTTAATTATCAGTTGGAGGGGGAGTACAATTTTATAAATTAATATCCTCATCTAGCAAGAACTGAAAGAAAAATAAAAATGCTTGAGATAGGATGAAAATGATTATTCGACCACATAAAATGCAGAAAATATATTTTTATAAAATCATTAAAATGGTAAAGAGCTTTTTGCGCGAAATGAATAAGATGACAACGATTTTTTTCGAAATACTAAGGATTTTCTTCCTCAGGAATAGATTGCTTAGCTATATTTGGCAAAACCTTTCGGAATTTTAGGTCCTCAATGCTCTTCAACTTCGTACTTTATTCGCCCTTTGTAACTTTTTGGATTCGAGCGTCACTGGTTAGTCTTTTGTTGACGAAATTCGTGTAAGGCGTATACAATTGCTATTCTGGTATTTATGATGAGTTGATAGCAATTTCCGGTGAAAAATGAATATTCATTTTGAGAAAAATGGCTATAGTTCTTCCCCCTTCCCCCTTAAGTTTAAACAAATGTGAAAGTCGAAAGTTTGATTGCAATCAGTGTTAACTATACAAGATGAAATTTGAAAATTTTATTAAATATTACCTGACGTCGATGAATACATTAAACATATAATCACTGAAAGAAGGGCGTTGTAAAATTTCTCCTTTAGTGTCTCCATTTTCTCTTTACACATTGAAAAAGAATATTTTTCTCACTTTTTTCCTCAAATGATCATTGCATTGTCCTAATTTAAACAAACAAAATATCACAAATTGGAAAAACAGCTCACTACACAACACTTTTTTGTATCTATAAAATTACATGACACACGTTTTTAAAAGTTGTTTATGACAGTTCAATGGTTTACATGTATAACAAATGAATTCAAAATGAATACAAATAACAAATATTTTAAAAGGCAATTTATTGTA